GGGCTGAGACGCGTGGCAGGGAGGAGCTGGTGGGACAGGGACACCGGGTGCTCTGCAATCCAAGCCCAGACCAGCAAGTGCCACCTCTGTGGCTGGAAGGCCATGACAAGAGCTGGGAATAGCTGCATGCCCCACACTCCCCAGCAGCTTTTCCTTCCCTGTTTTCTGCAAGGATGGAGACAAGGTCTCCAGCCGTCACCTTTCCAGGGTTAAACAGACTCAGTGGAAAGGGCACTGGCCGAGAGCAGGGCCGGCGCCGAGCACGAGCCCCTCGTGGGTTTTCAGGCAGGTGAGGAGCACGTGGGGATGCTGTAGGGACCGAAGGGATCCTTTTCCCACTGCCTCCTCGCGACAGACGTCCCCACTCACCTTCCTGGCAATAGGAACTCTCTGACCCAGAGCTGCCAGCTCAAGCAGAGTCAGCAGCCGAGAAAGCGCGTTAGCCCAGCAGCCCAGCTTTCGCTTCAGCCTTACTTTTTTGCAGCCAAACTCTGAAGGATTGAGCAACGGGGAGCGGGCAGTTTGGCAGGGGCTGGGTTCAGAGCGCAGGGTGCAAGCGCCGCACGCACGCAGAAGCGTGGGGAAACACGCCGACCCCTCCCCTATCAGAGCTCGCAGGCAAGAGGCTGCTGGATGGATCTGTATGCATATATATGTGTACACAAACCCACAACCTTCCTCCTGAAACTGGAATTTGACAGCCCCGATGAAGAGCTGCCGCGGCGAGGAGGAGCAGGGTCAGGAGCCTTCACCCTGCACAGGAGCCCAGTCCCCTTCTAGAAATCCATCCCTGTGACAAACTCCAGGCTCAGGGCTGCGGGAAGCAGCACCACAGGCTGCTGCTTAATTAAAGTACCACCGTGGAGGGCTGGGGGGCTCTCTCTGGCCCCCTGGAAGGGCAGGGGGGGCTGCCTGACACCTCACAGTGCCAAGGGAAAACTGCACCCTTCTGCGGCAGACGATGCTACGGGCCCTCAGTTTGGAACCCGCTGCTGCCGAATCACCTCTCCCCAGAGGAGCAGAGCATTCCCCACGGGCTCTGCTCGCCAATGGCAAAATCCATCACCGCTCCGAAGAGCTGCACGAGTCCCTGTGAACCCCCCCCGACCTGCCAATAGCCTCAGCGCTGGCTGGACGAGGTGGCA